GGGGGGGGGGGGGGTCCAGCGGCTTTGCTGGACCCCCCCAGCAGACCAGGGAGACCGGGAGAAGCTTTTCTCACCCCGGAGGACACGGGTGGCGACTCGCCGCCCGTGAGCTCCGGGGCGAGAAAAGCCCCATTCGTAAGTGCGGATCCGACATAAGTCGGATCCGCGTAAGTCGGGGACTGCCTGTATACCTAAAGTTCATTAAGTGTAACCAAGTTAGGAAAGGCATTCTATGAATTCTATTGCCAAGAGAAGTAGTAGTAGTTCTACTGTCTGAGAATTAAAACTTTACTGCAGCTTCTAATCATGCACCAGCACGGACACAGATTAGATGGCTTTTTCCCCAGTTTTAGTTTTTATAATGGTATGCTCATATTAATTAAAACATCCTGCCCTATCAATTACTCTGTTATACAGAAATCCAGGCCACTGTGCTTTGCTGGCTTTATATGAAGAATATAAAAGAGTTTTGTACCAGAAGGCTACCCCGTACATCTCCAGACAGTCCTTGTGCAAGATAAGCAATGCCACCTTGTGGATAAATATATACACTCACACTACATTCACTTCTAGGGGTATGTCTACACTGCAATGCTATTTGGGGGAAATAGCTATCCCCGGGTCTTTTGAATGTGTCCGCTATTGCGAAATATAGCAGACATACTATTTCGGCATCCCTGTAAACCTGTTTGCATGAGAGATAAGGAATGTCTTGAAATAGTGTTTTATTTAGAAATTTGGCACCTGTAGATGTGCCAAATTTTGAAATAGCCTATTTTGAAAAAAAGACTAAATAAGAATCTAAATACGATACGCAAATTGCGTAGCGCAAATTGCATTGCACAAATTGCACATCTTATTTTGAGCTAAGGGTGTAGACGCATCCTAGGATGAGGCTGAATCTGGTTTGCAGATTTGTAACCCTGTGAGTTCCCAGGTTATTACAGACAAGGAGAGTGGGGGGTGGAGGAATATCTTTTAATGTCTGGATCAGTTTCAGTGGACGAATTTCATGTCATCCAGAAATATAAAAAATGAAGTTCTAAGTTGGGGGCAATGACCACTTTACCCCCAATCCTGCAATGACCTTTCATTAAAAAAAATAATTTTTTTTTGCTCAAATGTAACAGGCTCATTCTCAGCTCAGTAATGAATTTATTATTTATTTGGAAATATTTGTAGGCAAAATAGTTCAGTAGTTTTCAAAACCAAAAAGAACAAAATAAATTTAGTACTGTTTGGGAGGCACTTGCCTGCTCTGGCCAGAACTGGAAAAATAATGGGGCATGAAAAAGTCTATGAATAAATCATCAAAGTCACAGGACTGCGTGGAGCAGCTCTGTGCACTGGGTCAGGATGACACTAGGGCTATGTCTACACTGGTGGGTTCTTGCGTAAGAAATATGCAAATGAGGCTAAGCATGGAATATCGCTGAGCCTCATTTGCATACCTAATGAGCCGCCTTTTTTGCGGAAGAGGCTCTTGCGCCAGAAGGAGCTGTCTACACTGCCCCTTCTTGCGCAAGAAAAACCCTCACTCCATCCCTAGCAGCATGGATGCAGCCAGGTGAATGCATTACAGAGGATGACTTCTGAGGTGTCATTAGGCTGCAGTAATGGGGGTCACTGTAAGTACATTAAAGCAGTGGTTCCCAACCACCAGTCCGTGGACCAGTGCCAGGCCATGAACCGTTGGCTGCCAGGCTGTGGCACACTGCCAGGCCATCCCCATGCCTTGACAGGCAGGGGCTACCTGGGGAGAAGAGAACAGGAGGCTGGCTTGCAATACCTCGCCTGCCCCACAGAGCATTAGCTGCCATGGCTCTGCCCCCGCAGCCGAGTGTTTACTTCAGCTCCTCTCCTCTAGTATGGAGCAGCGGCATGGCCAGGGTGGGACGGACCAAACTGTTGCTGGGGAAGCTGCGGAGGGATGGTCAGAGGGCCTTGGCTACTGACAGAGGCTCGCTGTGGGGATGTGAGACCTTCCCACCTGTCCCATGTGCGTCCCCTGGTCCTAGAGGCAGGTGGGAGCATCCTGGCTTCTCATGCTGCAGCAGCTTCTACCTTCTCCAGGGGTGCCAGGTAGGCTGCAGTTGCTCTGCCCAGTTCACATGTGGCTATGTGACTCCCTCTTTCTAGAGGTGGGGACTAGTTCAGTGTGGTGGGGATAGAAGACGGTTTGGGGTGTCTAACTTCTTTCCCTCTGGGCAGCAGGCAGAACAAAAGGCCTATCTCATGACATTTGCATGTCCAAAAGTTTCAGAGGGGCAGCCAAGTTACACTGTAATAGAAAAAAACTTAAAAAACAACAAATAGTCCTGCAGCACTTTAGAGACTAACAAAAAGTGTAAGTGGTATCATGAGATTTCCTGGGCATAATTACATTTCAAAGAAAGTTTACATAGGTGTTAATCACTCAAGATAAGAAAGGATTCTTTTAACGGAGAATTTTTAGTGTTGTAGATAACTGCAAACTCTGATCTCTTCCAATGACGTGTATTGTGTGCATGCTTATGCGATGTAAAATAACACATGACCTCTTAAATTAATTAGCATAATAAATATGCAAATAGGCCAATAAAATATTACCAACCCACCAAAAGTTTGTGAACAGGTTTGTGGGTCGGCAGCATTAAAAAGCTTGGGAACCACTACACCGGCCCCTGACTCTGCAATGGGCGCCACGTGCTTGGCTCCTCCCTGGGCCCTAGAAGACACTCTGGCTCCCTCCTCTGCTCCCCCATCATAAAGTCCCTAAAAAAGCGCAAATCGAACTCCAGCCCGCGCACACAGAGGATTACGGTAGGGAAAACCAGCTGCTACAAGAAGCCCCTATGCAAGGGAAGGGGCGTGGCCTTCTAGCCCCGCGAGGGTTGCGTCGCTAGCCACGCCCCGTCGTTCGGTCTAGCCACTCAGCACCCGACTTTTCCGTTCGCGCGCTAGCCCCCGGGCCCAATGGGATTCAGGCTTTCGTGGGCGGGCAAAAGGCGGGAGGTCAGCGCGCACTCCCGGAAGCGAAGGAGCGGACGTCACTTCCTGGCTTTCTCTCGGACTCCGGCGGGCGCACGTGCGGCCCAGCGAGTAATTTTTGTTTTCAGCGCTGCCTTGTGCCAGGCCGGGCGACTTTTCCGTTCGCGCGCTAGCCCCCGGGCCCAATGGGATTCAGGCTTTCGTGGGCGGGCAAAAGGCGGGAGGTCAGCGCGCACTCCCGGAAGCGAAGGAGCGGACGTCACTTCCTGGCTTTCTCTCGGACTCCGGCGGGCGCACGTGCGGCCCAGCGAGTAATTTTTGTTTTCAGCGCTGCCTTGTGCCAGGCCGGGCTGCCATGGTGAGGGGGGGCCGCGCCGCGAGGCGGGGGGGGTTGCCGGGGCG